AGTTTGAAGTTTGCCCGGGGACACAGGAACATGCCCGAGAGGGCTAGTGTGACCGTCGAGTCTCATTAAGGCCATTACCAGCCAAAGTTTGGAAAATCATGAATTTTGATATGTCGCACGATGGGTTTTTGGTTCTTGTTGAGAATTGGCCACTTCTCCGGGGGCACCGGAACATGTCTGGGAGGGCTAGTGTGACCATGGACTCTCAATAAGACCATTGCTGGCGAAGATTTGTAAAATCATGAAGTTTGATATGTCGCACGATGGGTTTCGTTCTTGTTGAGAATTGGCCACTTCCCCGGGAGCACCGGAACATTCCCGGAAGGGCTAGTGTGACCATGGACTTTAAATAAGGCCATTACTGGCCAAGATTTGTAAAATCATGAAGTTTGATATGTCGCATGATGGGTTTTGGTTCTTGTTGAGAATTGGCCACTTCCCCGGGGCACCGGAACATTTCCGGGATGCCCAATGTGATTGTGAACCATCGAAATAGCTGCCACTGGTACAATTACATCGTTTGAGAGAAAAAAACATGATGTTCATCGTGTGTATACTTATTACAGAACAATAAAGCCGAATGCCGACCAAAAGTGACCCCAACGGGAACCGATATAACTCAGGAACCATGAATTGATCAAAATATTTTCAGATGTATTCAGAAACTTCAATAGATTCAAGACAAAATTCAATGTGTTGTAAAGAAAAATATTGAGAAATTATGTTTTTAGAGCTAATTGATTTTTGAAATCTATGCAAATTTAGACGTTAGGCACGCAAAGATTAACATAATTTTTGTAATTCTGGTTTCGTTCGCATCCACCAAATTAAATTCGTTATTTCTTATGTTGAACCAGGTAGCACAAACAAACATTCCTTTCATTGTCGCATTCTCCGGTGCTTTGACAGGGGCGTGATCCAGGATATAGTTCATTGCCCTGCCAACACCTCGGCAGTATTGAAATCCGACTACATTTCCAATCACGAACCGATCGTTGCATGTGAATTGGCACCAATCACCAACGTAGATTTCCTCGTAGGTCCCAGGAGATGTATGTTTATAGGGTCTATTCTGAAGTCATAACAGCGGTACCGATACAATTTATCAGAGCTGACATTATCCCAGGGGCCTGGCTGGCGGCCATGTTTTTGATGCTTTCATCTGCTCTTGTCTTTCTGCTTACAACACGATTTTGCGTCCCTTTCCTTCATGTATACGTCAGGCGGGCCGTATTTAAATAAGGCCCGTGATCTTGCCTACTGTCAAACGTATATGATTGATATGGGGTTGCCAGTCCCCTGCATTATCCTTAACGTAGCAAAAGGGCCTGTGAAATTTTTGTTTCACGGGCCAATAACGAAAGGGTCTAACGGTACGCCGGGGGAAATTTAAGTACATTTCTCGTTGTACATTAATGGAGTTAATGTACTTAATTTATGCTACTTAATGTACTACTTATGTAATTAAAACTGAAATTTGTACTTAAAAGTAAATAAATCAAAACATTTCCGACGCTCGTAATTAAAGTAATTAATCATGTAGTTAACTGTAATTATTGTACTTAAAAAAGGCTTGCGTAGGAGTTAAAGGTTATTGCGTGCCCCTCGTCTAGAACACTAAGTTGAGAGCACGCAATAAGCTAAAATGCGATATGCAATAAGCTTGAAATGCGAAAAAGAAGAAGAAGAAGGTTCAGAGCCTTAGCAGGCTCAAATGTTATAAAAATAACTTAGGCTGTGAACCATTTGCCGAGTTAAATTTAACTCGTGGTTAAAAGTGACATTTCGAAAGTTATTCTTGATGTTCGAAAATCCCTGTGCTGTCAATCGACCGGTTTTCGAGAAGAACTCAGCCACGGTTGTCAACATTTAACTTCTTGTCTGTCAGAAATAACCACACTCGGATAGCAGGGTTAATCTCGGGGTTAATCGATAACTTTCCATTTGTCAAATTTTAATCAAAAGTTAAAATAATCCACCAAATGGTTCAGAGCCTTAGCGGAGCCGAGTAACATGGAATACCAATTTTGGTACTCAAAATACAAAAAAAAAGATATAAAAATGCATTTTATCATAGGATTTTTCTGGGTGGCGATCGAAGCGGCGACAAAGCGATCTTCTCCCGTGCACGCAACTTCTTTCTTTCCCGAATTTGTTCCTCATTTTCATTGAACCCGAATCGTGATCGCTGCTGCTGCTTCTGAACGTCGTTTCCCGTTGCATGCTCTCCGCTACTCTCGTCTGTCGGCAGGGTTGTCACGTCCATTTCGTTATTTTCTCCAACCCCGTGTCCGTTTCCTGGTCGCTAATGACTAGCGACGCATCTTCCACCACTACACCAGCATACGTACTACTGCTGTTTTGTTTTATTTCACTTTGCTGCTTTCCGTCCGCCTTGCACAGAAAACATTTATCTTTGTTGCCATCATAAAATATATTTCCTTTGCGATTGAAGAAATGTAACGACGTGGGGATTTCCTTCTTCACATCCATATATATAAATATACCGCGTATCCTTGTATATAACTCAAAACACAGATCAGTTGGATATTTCTCCCGGATGATGCGTTAAATTTTTCCATATTTCCCCAGCACTTTATGCAGCTCTTTGTCGGGTACCTCTGGTGGCACACACCAGCATGCAACATGCGTACCGTTCCGATTCAAATTTCGGACACTTTCATTTTTAATTAAATATTACATCCAGTTAGAAACAAAGTAATAATGTTAGATTATCGTGGAGGGCACTAGTCAAAAAAATTTAAAATTTACAAGACATGTGGATCATATTCGACCGAGATAATCAACTTTTAAAAGTGTCCGAAATTCGAGTTGATGGAAGATTAAATCCTCCGAATTGTATGTCAGAGCATGGAGCATCGCTTCCTCTGATTTGAACTTTATGAAGACTCCTTTTTCCTCACCAATGCGATAAACAGCTTCCATTTCAGCCGGATCCGCGTCGAGTGCTTTGGCGAAGAAATTATACAAAAGGGGGCTTAAGCATGAGCCCTGGGGTAGACCCATGTAGCTAAATCGAGAAGCTGTAGAGTTTCCATGAGAAAAGCTCATATGCTTCTCTGACAGCAAATTATACAAAAAGTTATTAAATAATGGAGAAAGCATGGAGTTTGTCTGAAAGGACTTCAACCGATACTGAATCAAAAGCCTCCTTAATATCCAAGAACTCAGAAGCCATTTGCTCTTTTTTTAACAAAAGCCATCTGAATTTCTGTGTAAAGTAACGCGAGACAGTCTTTCGTTCCCTTGCCCCTACTAAATTGAGGATCTGAGAGTAGTAGGTGGTTCATCTTAACCCATTTGTCCAGGCGAAAAAGAATCATTTTCTCCAACAATTTTCGAATGCACGATAACATCGCGATGGGACGATACGAGTTATGATCTGACGCGGGTTTTCCAAGATTTTTAATGGCTATAACTCTTACTCGCCTCCAATCTTCTGGAACAATATTGAGCTCCAGGAACTGACAAAACAAGTCCAACATGCGCCTCTTAGCGCCGTCTGGGTGGTTCTTCAACACGTTGAACTTGATCCTATAAGCCCCCGGAGCCGAATTGCGACACGAAAGGAGCGCGAGTGACAGCTCCAGCATTGTAAAAGGTTGGCTGATCTCGTCTACTGGACATACTTTTCGCGCGAACTTGAGAATCCAACGATCCGAGTACTCCTCACTCTCGTTGTTTGAAGACCGGTTACGCATCCTTCGCGCCGCGTTCCAAAGCGTATTCATCGACGTTTCGCGCGGTAATCCGTCGATGAATTGCCTGGAAAGACGTTCCTGGAAACGGCCGAGTTTGAGCTTGAAGCGCGCTGTCCAAGATCAGATTGGAGAGGAAGTTATATTCCTCCAACGGTGGAAGCCCTTCTACCAAAGTTAGGGCTTCATCGATCACAGTCTTGAACTTTGTCCAATCGATATTACGGATGAGATCATACGCGACTTTAACGAGTTCCGACGGACTGAACCCACTGCACAGTGGTCCAGAATGCAGATTTAGGTGGAATGATGTGTTTTGATATGGCTTTAATCGCGAAAAGAGGGGTGTTCAGATGATCGAAATTTTCATACCCGGATTTCCCAGTATTTAATATTACAAAAACCTTTTTTCGTCGGCTGGTGGACCTTCCAGACCTTTAAATCGATTTATCTCCGTAAATATGACTCTAATCGCGAAAAGAGAGGTGTTCAGATGATCGAAATTTTCATACCCAGATTTCCCATTTTGTAATATACAAAAACCTTTATTTGTCGGCTGGTGGGCCTTCCAGACCTTTAAGTTCTAAACAATGGGCGCAAATGGTTAAATTAACTTCAACTTTAAACCGGGATTCAGCATTTTAAACTTAACACTCCGAACACGATGCTTCCGTTAAAATATGTAACGGCAAACTTGCAATGTGTGAAAAATCATAGCTCTACCATTTATTGGCGAAATTCAAATCTATTTGCGCCTTTTGAAACTACATACTTTATAAATGTATTCGGTATCAATAGTTTCAAAATCTATCGCCAATTTACCGCTACACATTTTACCGGAGGCATCGTGTTCACAGTGTTAATAACTCCGTTCGTTTCAGTGCAGCGTTTGAAAATCGATTGTACATTTTACATTTTCCAATGACGGTCTGTTTGAATACATATTTACAGGAAAATGACGCCTCAGTGGATCTCTCGCACACGCTCGTAGCCTTGGGAATGAGCCAATTAACCCTCACGTGCCCCGACGACGTCAACCGGCCGAACGCATTACAACCCGCCGCTGTTCCCATGCAAACAATGGACGAAGATCTCTTCAATGTCAGTGATGGCATCTTGACAGATTTTGATTGATAGTTTCAAGTGTCATCCTTTGAATATTATGTATCCCCAATATTGTTACTATCACTGAAAATATAAGGATTTATCAATACAATTAATCTCAGCGGATTACCCAATAATTTGCATGTGATATCACCAATCCATGCTAGAAAAACAACGTTTTTTGTTCGTGTTCTAAAATCTTTATTTCTAATAGATGTGAGCTTAACCGGATCCTAGCAGCAAGAACTAACAATTAAAAGAGCACTAACTTAGATTCTATCAATTTTCGTCGACTTAGATAAATGAAAAGCAAAAAACCGCGAAAATAGCTATACAGTGAGCTTAGGGTGACTCAACTTTATAACCCAATCCTCCCACCGCTCGTGCGATCTGTATTGAGGTCCCCAACTACTGTGTAAGTCAAATAATAACTTTTTGTTCGGCATAGTTTTTCCAATCAAAGTCTCAAGATTGCAAAAAAAAATTGAGAATTTTTTGAATTTTTGAAAGCAATAGTTTCTCTCCGTTTTTCCATACAAACTTTGATGTTCTTCAAAATCGTTCAAATTTGGCAGTTGTTGGGGACCTCAATACAGATCGAAAGCGCACTGGGAAGCAGGGTGTTGTGATCAGCCATACAAAGTTGGCCCACCCTAGTGAACATGTTTTAAAATACAAGAAAGTGTCCTGTTTTCAGCAAATGAATCTCGTTTCGTTTCAGATGGCTTCTTACTCACTGCTGGGAATCGGATATTAACGTCGGAGAGTAGATAGGTTAGGTACGTGCGCATATGCTGGGATGGTGTTTCGTGGATGTGTGCTCGAACATGGCTCAATAAAAAAAAATCAAATAGTACAGTGAAATATTTCTCGCTTAATGTAAACTTATTTTAGAAAATACGCAAAAAAATGCCGTCTTTTGTTGAAAAATAAAATTTTCCCTCGTAGCGTCACATGTAGTTGAATGTGTGCAGAGTGGAAAACTAATTTATAATTCACTTAAGTCCGATTTGTACAATAGTCATGTGTAATTGTAAAATTGCCTTCAATTGCATGAAACTCATAAACTCGATATGTTTTAGCTCCACAAATATTTTGAAATTCTGCCTTAGATCTAATACTTTCTCTTAACCTTATTCAATACATTCTAATTAGAAAAAAAGAGAAACATATAGATTCTTCTAAGTAGCCTAGATGCTTTTCCTTCGTTATTAAAACTGTACGTCAAGTGAATAATTCAAACTCACAGAAGTTAACTTCACAATTAAATCTTTCGGCAAATAGCAATCAAAAAAATTCGTTTGATTTTACTGATTTGCATCTCAAATAAAACTTTTTGCTTACTTTTTCTACTCGCACTCTCTATTCATAAAGTAAAAGTTCTAACTGTCCGATAGTCTAATTTGGTGCTATCTAATAAAATAGCGAAAAAAAAAGTTTGTTAACTTACAATAGAAACACTTTTTTACAATCAAAGAAAAAAAATGGAAACTATTCAATTGTAGCGTCGTGCAGTTTGTGTGTGTGGTTGTTTAGAAAACCTTAGGCACCAACATGTATCGCACCGTTGAGCAGTAACGTTGCCAGGCGGAGTTGTACTTTTTCGCGTTCCGATCGTTGACGCGTTTGGCACGTTGAACCAGCAGGGCCACGGTGAATAGGACTGCCAGCAGAGGGGGCCAAGCGAAGCGCCAGTACAGTAGCGGCAACAGGGCAATGTTCTGCAGGATGTCTCCAACGTAGTTTGGCTGGCGGACGCGACCCCACAGCTTCGCCACGAGCAAGCGGCGCCCTTGGAAGGTGGGCAGGGTTTCCAGATCTGCGGAGAGACATTAATGGGATGGAAGTTTCAAATAGTACATTTTTTTTGATGAAAATGCTACCGATACAAAATTGGTCACAACTTGTATTGTGATTAATCAACAACTCGATGGGTAAAGTATGAAATTTGAGATGAATTTGAAACAAAGGGAACTTGGAGTGTAGAGTGCACTGCTCACCGGTTGATGTTGAAGTGTTGTCAAGTAAGCGGCTAAGGGTCTAAATGATGTCTGAATGGACAATACAGTGCAGGTGGATGTTTTACTTTACTCTCTATATTATACTCTTTGAATCTGTTTTAAATTTTTGGGTTAACACGTGAAATCCCGGTAAACCATTTCCGGCAAATTTACCAAAAATCACGTTTCCCGATTCCCGCACGCAAACAAAAAATCTATTACAATGAATGTTAGTTCTATTTCCAATCATCAAGTTCATGAACATCGCAGCGTATGTTATATGTTGACCTTGCAGACGATGCAATGATTTTTAACCTTTTTTTATTCTGTGTTCTGTACATGCTTTCACCTACACAAGCAACCATTTGCCTTTTATGTATACCATGGTAGAACGACTACGGTTACCATTTCAAAAACTTGAAAAGGAGGACATTTCATTTGAGGTTTGGAGATTAAGAAAGACAATGATTCCCTTTCTTAACATTAAAGGAGGACAATGAGTTTTTTTTTCCAAACGTTTTACTAATATGTGCGCTATTACAAAATTCATAATTTGCAAAGGTTCAATTGAGATTGTTCATAACTTGTAGTAGTTACCAATTCAATTTATCTTCTGAAAAATGCATCAAACTGGCCTTCATAATTTATTTCTGATACTTGGAAATGATCTAGTCTAGCTAATTTGCATGAAAACTACAGCTTAAAACCATCCCAACTTTTATCATGTTCAAAAATCAGGATACATCTCGATAACTTTTTCAAAGGGACGTATCAGCTTTTGTAAACAATGTATTTGATCGTCGATTTGGCGTAACTGGTAGCTCGCCCACGCATGCTAACACTAGGTACCATCAGATAGAGGAAATTTTCCCCTACCTGCTAGGTAGTGGTGTTAGTAAGCGAGTGCGAGCTACCAGTTACGTCAAATCGCCGATCAAATGCATTGTTTACAAAAGCTGATACGTCCCTTTGAAAAAGTTATCGAGACATGTCATCGCTGATTGAAACCAACATGGAATCTAAGCAACCTGTTAATTCTCCATTGATTCAGCATAGGACTCTAAGGCCGCTGCCATAGTGAGAGCGAAGAGGCGCGCTTAGCGTTCTGTACAAAAGAGTTCCTATTATTGATATTATTCCTTACATTCGATTTCACGATTCACGTGCCTCTTCGCTCTCATTATGGTAGCGGCCTAAACAAATCAAGCGTAACTATTCAAATCGACGTATCTGCTTTTGTAAACAATCTCTTCAATCGACGATTTGTCTTAACTGCTAACTCACCCACGTAAACGAACACCATCATCAGGTAGGAGACACTTTCGTCTACTAGCTGGTATTGTTAGTTCCTGGTAGTGAGCTTGCAGTTGCCACAAATCGTCGATTGAAGTGATTGTTTACAAAATCAGATGCGTCGATTTGCATAGTTATTAGCTTGAAATACCTAAATTCCCATAGAACCAGAACGTTAAAATCGAGCACATGTTGGATTCAATCTGTGTGACTGTGTTCCATATGGTGAATTTTAACTTAAATTTGACAGATAGAAAATATTCAAATAAACCTGCTATTGTACCAGACTTATTTCTGGCAGACCAGGAATCAATTTTGACAAACACTTCTAAAATCACACGATCGATAACAGAGAGATTTTCGAACATTATAATTTATTTTAGAAAGGTAAAATTTAAGTAAAAATTTAGAAAAATTGATGAACTTTAACTGATACTTCGAAAATAAATTATAACGTTCGAAAACCCCTGTGTTGTTGATCATCCGATTTTCGAGAAATTGTTTGTCAAAATTGATTCCTGGTTTGTCTGAAATAAGTCTGGTGGAATAGCAGGTTTATTTGAATATTTTCCATCTGTCAAATATAAGTTAAAATTCACCAAATGGACCGCAGCCTAAATGTAGGGGGGTTGACAGCTGTACTGCCGATACTCGCATAATTGCCCCATCTTTGCTTGATTTCCTATTCATATGGGACAGTTATGCTTTTATGGGCAGTGTAGTTTACTCCTAGTCCCACCATCGAATGGCATTTGCTAGATAAGATGAGGTTGCAACATAATTAAACAAATAAGATCTGCAAACAGCGCTCTTTGAAAACAATTTTATGAATATGTTACTGGAAAAAAATGCAAGGATTAAAAAGGAGGGCATTTTTTGGCATAAGGAGGATGTAGAAAAAAATATTGAAAAAGGAGGACATGTCCTCCTTTACGATACCATATGGTAACCCTAAGAACGACGCACAACCTTGCCTCGATTCTCTCCAACAGAAAAAGCAAACGAAGGCGATTATGCGAGCAAATGAGCGTTGTTTGCCTTTAGCCTATCCATATCTCAGGGTTGGTAGCGATCAATGCTGTCAAAAATAGTGATTTTAGTGACTATGTTGAAGAAATACGTTAAAAAATAGTGACTTATAGTTGTTAAAAAAGTGACTAAAAGTGACCTTAGGGAAGAAAATCAGTCGTTCTGATGGCATATGATGGATGTTTTAGACTTATTCAATTAGAATCTCATAAACACTTAAATATGTGCGAAATATTCAATAAAAAGCTTATGACTAAGCCTTCAAGTGTCTACTACCTGGAAAATACCTGGAAGTCTCACGAAATCTTATCATTACTAAGAAAATTTAATATTCCAACGAAAAAAATGCATTTTAAAATAAAAAACATTAAATATTTCTTGTTCTTTTCATTCACACATTTGAAATCGGAGCATAAGTCCTCGTATTATTTTGGTGAACACTTAGGGGGTGAAGGGGAGGCTAAAAGGAGGATTACAATTAAATCTGAGAATGACTCCAGGAGATCTTCAAAGAAATTCAGAAATAATTTCAGAAGAGATTGCCAAACAAATTTCAATGTGAGTAGAATTCCAAGGAAAGGAGTACGATTAAAAATGACATCTGGAATGAATGCAATGAAAATACTGAAAATCATTCCATAGGATTTCTTACCGAGGAGAATTTCAAGGCAATTCCTAGGAAAAATAAAAGAAAATTAAATTCGGAGGATAGTTGCGAAAAGTATTGTAACCATGCTTGGCATACACAGTTGTACACACCAACTGCTCATTTGTTAATAACTTTTTACTCAGTTGTTGAAATTTGTGTTTCTTTAAAGTAATTGATAGATTAGGATCATAGCTTACTATAAATATGCAAAAAGTAGATTAATCTTAACATTTGAATCAACACCAATAAATGTTTACTCTTAAAGTCCGAGATGTGCAGCGAGCATTTCACACTTCATTTTTACAACGCAAAAACAAATACAGTTTATTACTAGAATTAAAATGTAAAAAATCTTAAAATCTTTTTTTTTACGTATCTATAACAAGCTTAAACTATATTCTATCTACTGCTTCAAAAAGAACTATGTTTCGTCAACTCTGTGTAAAGTTATTAACAAATGAGCAGTTCGTGACCAAACCTGTGTATGCCAAGCATGACTGTAACTATATTCTTGTGATATTTTTTAGAGAATTCAGAGAAGCGTTCCAAGTGAATTTCTGAAATAATTCATTGAGTTTTTGGAGAATACGAGTGATGAGGAGTAATCCAAGCGAATTTTCATGAGAAATCTCCGTTGAATATGTAATGAACTATTCTGAGGTCTTTAGAACAACTTAAAAGTTCCCAAAATATTCCTGAAGTTAATAAAACTGCCTTGAAGTTCGTATCTAACCTGATGCTCACAATACTTCTCATCATTGTTTTTAACTTCTCTAAACTTTTTCAGACTTCCTAAAGTTTCCACAACTTTTCTAACGATCATGAATCTTCTCTAAAATTTTAATAATTCACTGAATTTCTCGAAACTTTTTTTAATTTATGTAATTTCGCTGCTCTGGAATACCTCGCTCTCAGGATATCTGTTTTTCTTTTTTTTTAGCTTTTTAACGAGATGAATATCTTTCTTGAAGTTCTCGAAACAGTGTTTGCAGTTCTCATGAAGCTTGTTGTACTACCCTGAATTTAATTGAACTGTTCTAAAAATGTTTAAGCTTCCGTGACCTTCTGGACTTATGTGAAAACTTCAATAATTTTATTAACATCTCTAAAGTTCTCTGAAAATTTGGAAACTTCTTGAATTTTTCCGCTAATTTAGTGAAACTAATGAAACTTAACTCCACTGAATCTCCCCTTGTTTTTGGAGCTTTTTACTAAACTTATTTGAAATGCTCCCGAAATGCCCATATAAGTTTCTGAAGTTCTCGGATCTTCCCTTAAGTTCCATAGACTTTTATGAAGTTCTCGAAATGTTTCTGAAGATCTCTGTACTTCTGTGAAGTTTTCGAAGTTATGCTGAAATTTCAGGAACTACTTTAAGCTCCAGCAACGAAATTAATTAATTTAGTTCAATGATTTTGACTGAAGTTCTCAAGATTTGTTGATTTTCGAAACTAATTCACAGCTTCTTCAATAGTCTAGAGTTTCCTGATGTTTTTAAAACTGCCCAAAATATTTCTCAATTTCCTAAAAAATTTCTAGACTGCCTTGAATATCTTGATATTTTTTTAAAAGAACCCACAATTTTACTGAAATTGGTTGAATTGACTTTAAGTTCTACAATTTTCCTTAAGTTTTATAAAGTTTATAAACGCTCACGGAACTTTGCCTTAAATCATTAATTTTCCATGGAAAGTCTAGCCCTGAAGTTTTCTATGATTACATTATGATCTGTCTTGATGTACTCGGAGCTTCCCTAAAGCTTTCAATTCTAATGAAGATCTCGCTTCTACTTTAAAATAAATAAAAGTTTTCATAAATATTCTGAAGGTCTCTGTACTGAATCTCTCG